AGTTCACAATTAAAGAGGATAAATTCATATAATTTACCAATATTTGAGGTGGATGCTTTAGTGTTGGGCACCATTCCAATTAAACTTATCAAGATATAAGGACTCTGGATTGTACCTTTCCTTCTATAGTACCACTAGAATAGGAGCTTGGATTTTAAGGCTCTGCCTATTTTCTGTTTCCATGTTAAAGGATGGGATACACACTTTGGTTTTGATGCAAATTTCCATTCTATAATTTTTCATTGACCTCCAGTTTTCTACCAGGTCCAAACTCTGCAAGCAATCCCATGGCTATGTCTCCTTTACTTGGACAAATATGTCCTTGTGTCTATAGCAGATCTCTCTAGAGGCCACTGATATTTGGTGTGCTTTTCTGCTCCAGGACTGTACTGCCACTATCATGCTGGAATGTCCATTACTCCTTGCACTTTTGTTTATTCTTGGGCTAGGTTTTCTCTTTACTACTCTCACTGGACTCACTTACCATTCATAGTTCTCATTAGGACAGGTTTACCATATTTGTTCAAGTGATTGACTTCCAACATTCATAATCTCAGCTCCAAATCATCTTTGAAGAGAGAATTTCTAATGATCATATGCAGAATGGCCTTCTCAGGCTTTTCTGGTCACTCTCACACGTTGTGTCATATTTTGCATCTAGGGACAAGGGAGATAGCTCAGTAGAACAAGCTCTTGCCTGGGAAGCACAAGGGCCTGAGTTCAATGCCTGGTTCTGATATCAATACTTGATGGAAAATACGTGTTCTATGTTATGCCTAAGATGTTTGATATTCAGACAGATAATTAGGTTAAACCCAACTGCATATGTTGTAGGGTAATAATAAGCTTCTCTTCTGGAGGGTTAACAACCTAAGTTTGCAGACCAAAAATCAGAGAAAAAGAAGGGCTGCACGGACAGCCAACATTTTGGCCCTAGCCTTTCAAGGTCAGTGAGGACTCAGGACATAGGAGAACCTATACTGTAACATTATGTAACTCAGTTGTGTCACAAACTTTCTGATCAAGAAGATTATGGAGCCACAGAGGAATGTGATCGATAATGTAGAGTGTGCCTAAGGAGAATGACATGGGGAGAAAACATTCTCTCAGGCTTTCACAGAGAGCAAATTGGTCAAGCAATGGCTGTGACTCATCCACATGGCTGACACTGACAAAGGATCTACAAACTGTGGTATAGGGATTCTGGTTAAATCCTGAGGGTATTTGACTGACCTTGTGAGATACAAAAGTTACATTTCTTTTTATACAGGTCTTGCTTTATCTTGGTCTTAACCATGCAGCAGAAAGTATGAAAATGAAGTATAAAAAGTAAAGCCACATTAATATGCTGAGCTGTAAAAGGCTCAAGTCAACAACTTCTGACATTGCCTGTCCTATGGAAAACTCACTACTATTATGGACTACTGGACTCCATTGGGAGATTCTGCTGAATTCAAGCACCTACAGAATTTAAATGACAATGGAATGTCCTTCTCTGACAAAACTAACCAAAAAAGTTGAATAGAAATGAACAACCCTTTTGTATCTGTATACTCAAAATACTTAGGATAGATATATAGCTCCACTTTCTTAATTCAATGAACAGAGAGATTTGTTATAATAGTGTTTGAGACAGGCTGGGGCGATGGCTCAGTGGAATAAATGCTTCCCTGGAAAGCGCAAGGCCTGAGTTCAATCCCTGGTTGAAAAAAAAGAAAAAAAGAGAGAGACAGGATATCATGTTGGCATCTTGTACAATGAATAACCACTAAGACAACAATATGCAATGTATTAGTTATTGAAAATATGCCAGTAATTTGTTGTGAAACTATCTCATTGCTATTTGTTTCTCAATAAAAATATAAAAAAATCAATACCCAGTACTGCCAAAAAAAAAGAAGGAAAAAGATGGTACATTCTTCTGTATATTCAAAATAGGATAGATATAGAGCTGCATTCTCTTAATTCAATGAATAGAGGGATTTGTTCTAATAGTGTCTGTGGACAGGATATCATGTCTGCACCTTGCAAAATGAATAACCACTAAGACAACAGTATACAATGTGTTAATTATTGAAACTGTACTAGTAATTGGTTTTGAAACAGTCTTTTTTCTCAATAAAATTGTTTTAAAAATATTTTGCCTATAACAGCTAGAATTATCTGAAATAATTTAAACTTTTTGTTTGTTTAATGTTTTTAGTTTTTCTTTGGAACATACATATGTTTTGTCTTTGTTTCTTAAAGGATTATCTTCAGCACCTAGAATACCTATCATATCAATTGTTGAAACGTATGTTAGGTAAGGAATAACTGGCTCTAAAATTTGTGGGTTGCCTTTTCACTTTGTTGGTAATTTCTTTCGATGTGAAAAAACTTCTCAGTAAGAGCACACACCTATAGTATTTAAATGATGGAACTTAACAAAAAAAGGGGAT